GAAAACCTGTTTGGACTACCTTCATTTACTATTGCGTCTGCCGAGTGGATTGCTGGTGCCGATGTTATGACTGAATAACAGCTGCACCAGAATGCAAGGAAAGTCTCTGCTTTCTATCCTGGCACCAAATGAAAACAAAACAAATGCATATTCTTTCTTTAAAAATGTTTATTGACTAATGTTATTGACTAAAGGGAAAAAGGCAATGTTAAAAAAATATACATATAAACAGACATAATTTCTTGTTCAGTTACAAAGTTCCGCTGTTCAAGTCCTATAATTGCTGTGTCGAGAATACCAACAAATTTGTCAAGTGAAATTTTTTCGTTTTCAATAACTTCTGTTACTTTCTTCACTATCGGAAGCGAATTATAATGACGAGGCATTTGAGTTAAATAATATCAAAGACGGAGTACATCGAGATGAAATACTACATTTAGTAAGCAATTATAAGCCAAATAAAATAAAAACATCTGCCCTGAAGATAAGGATAGTGCTGACAGATCAACTTCCAATTCATTGCGCACCATGGCGTTAAAGATAAACAAAGTTTAGATAAACAAACGTTAAAGTTTAGATAAACAAAGGATATGCCTTTATCCACTTTTTGCAGCCATTCCACTTTTTGTCAAATGGACTCCGAACATTACTTTCGCTTTGTAGATCCTTTACGTATTAGTAAATATATATCGGAAATTCTATTTGACATAATCGAAAGTTCGAGCTTACTTTTATAAAATTGCTCTAACAGTCTGCAAAAAATAATAAGCCGGATCCAATTCGAAGATTAAGGAACAATGCAATCTGCAACATTAACTGAAATAGATAATAAGATAATTTTAGCTTGGCTTATACTGTCCGTTATACATTAAACGCGCATTCGTAAACGTATTTTGCATACGCAAATTCGCAGCCGTAAAGGTCTTAAGCGTATAGGTCAGCCGTATAGGTCAAAACGACGCATGCGCAGAAAGTTTGTAGTTTTGAGGTCCGGATTATGGGTGTCCGAATTAACGACTTTTGACTGTATTTATAACAAATATTTCAATTTGCTAAAATTATTCTTCACATTTAACCATAGTGATTTTTTTAATGCTGTATTTACGTTAGAAATGAATTTCAAATTCTCTCAAATCAAAAAATATTTTATAAAATTAAAGGGTCTAAAATTTACCGGAACAATCATCTAAAATGAATAACCGTATTTCTATTAAGACAACTGTCGACCTTGAACTAGGAAAAATTAGGAGTTTCCAAGAGGTTCGTAGTTTGCACAACAATGCTATTTGAAAAGAACTTCACAGAGACTTAAATTTACTTTATTATGCATGATTTGAGTAACTGAATTATTCATAATGTGATTCTGATATAAAAATTTGGTTGTGACTAAAGTTTTCCACCAAAAGACATTCTCAATAAAGTTAGAAAAGAAAACATGAAAGCAGTACCTTTAGTGCAAGTAGTAATCATCACATAAAATATATGATTTTCTGCATACTTTTTTGGTAGTTTTTCAAATCCTTTGGCCAGGAAACTTAGTGGCTGCGAATCTAAAAACAGATCAACCTCATTTCAGGCAAAATGGAAGATAGCACCAGTAAGATGTAGCTGCAGGTGTGAAAAAAGGTAGATGTCCGAAAGAGCGGTGTCAGGGATATATGACAGGTATAGCAAAAGATTCCATTCGAGTTCGTCCAGCCGGTGAATACAGACACATGCGGTCTTGTATTATCTTAATGGAACCTATGCTTTTTGCGCCGGAACTCGGTTTGAAGTTTTTCTATGATAGCAGCATCAACATGGACTAGCATCTCGCTGTACATCTTACTGTCGATGGTTTTACCTTTTCCCAGATACTCTTTGTGAATAATACCATGGCAATACCACTAGATATAAAGCATGATCTTTTTGTTATTGAAATTGCACTTTGTGACGCTGCCAACTGGTTCATCGAGTGCAGACAAATTCCCTTTCCGGCTTATGTTATTGAAGTAAATCTACTTTTCTTCATAAGTGACAATCCAGTCCAGAATTTGGTCCTTGCGTTGATATTCGGGCAGGCCCAAACACATCTGTCCTTATCTGCTTGAGTCAGCTCATGAGGCACCCAGCAACTAAACTTGTACATCAAGTTTATGCGATGCATGGCATGACTTATGGACATGGCATTAAAGTCTAACTACTTAGCAAGCTCTCGAGTGGTTGTATACTGATCTTATTCCAGAAGTTCTTGCAGACAGGCCTCATCAACATCAGTAGGCCGGCCACAGCACTCTCTTTTTGAATTTCATAGCCCTTGTTTTTTAACTTTCGAACCCAAACCTTCAAAGTATCATATGATACTACATTAGTACCTAAAGTTGTACACATTATTTAGCTGACTTTTTACAACAGAACTAGAAGTAAATGATAGTTCTAATCTGGTAACATGATAGTTTCATTTCAGACACCTTTTACTTAATGAAAACAGTACTTTTTTTTTTTTTTTTTTTTTTTTTTTTACAAATTTCACAGCATAATGTTCTAAAGCAAGTCTCTTTCTTTCAAATGCTAAAAATTATTTGACAAAATAGGATTAAATATGTCAATACAAACTGTTTGCACAGATGATATTTGTGGTGGCAGGAAACTTTCATTAAGGCCTGATATATTAATATTCAATTAGATACAACAAATTTTATGTTATTCTGCTAATTTTATTTTGTAACTTTCTTGCATCCTTAATAGGGAAGGAAGGCTTTTACTTATCACAGTACTTTTAAATACAACAAAATTAAACTCAAATATTAACTGATTAAGTATTGTTTGAAACTTCATAAAAAAAGTTCTACAAATGTCTACAGTATATTCAGACAATTTAGATTACATAAAATGTAATACGACAGATTATGTTAAAAATCACATAGCTGATGAATAGAATTTACACAATTTATGTTTCATTAATTCAATAAATTTAATTTATTCCTACAAAATATTACTTAGTAATTTTCTTTAATAAGGGCTAAAAACTGTACATCAAAAGTTCCTGTGATATGATAAAAAAAAAAAAAAAAAAACAGGGAATGCATTATGCAAGATATCCACTATAAATAAATAAATTAATATAGTGAATTGGCTAACTTTTGAATAACTATGCATTATGCAAAAGATAGCCACTATTTTAACAAAAATACACATCCTATCCAATATTAACTATCATTTCATAACTTATTCTGATAGTAAAAATGTAAATAAGTCATTATGGAAAAGGACAATACAATAATTACTTTAACAGGTTGTCTTTGTAGAAAACTGTGTGAGAAAAGTTGATCATATTTAATTACGCATTAAAAAATTACCTTATAAAAGAAAATGTTGAAAAGTATAGAAAATCTTGATCATTACAAAAAAAAAAAAAAATTGGTAATAAATAGTACATTGAAATCATATTTACAATAAAGCCTTCTTCACACTATAAAACTTTTTCTTTGCAAAAATAAACTGCAGTTCAATAAATAGTTGAGGACTCATCATCATTTCATTAAAAGCAGCACTTTTTATACTAATCTTAGATAACAGGGAAAAATAATCAAGCATTAAAATTTTCATATTAAAGATCTGTAGAAACATACTTGAGGTTAAGATACAATAACATGCCGAACAAATATTAATTTAGAAGTCAAACGACAAAAATCAGTGTTATATTTTCAAATTTTCACAGAATCAGTTTCAATAGTTTTACCGAACCATCATCCTCAGCTGCAAAAAGGGCAAAATGAAGTTTTTGCAGCTGAGGATGATGGTTCAGTAAAATCATCGAAACTAGTCCTGTGAAAATTTGAAAATATAACATTGATTTTTGTTGTTTGACTTCTAAATTAATACTTGAGGTTAGCAAATGTCTAAGATTAGAAGAGGAGTATGGTGTTTTCATATTTACCATTCTTTACATAATATTTTTAATCCTTTTGACAGAAAACATTTGTTATATGGGATCATAGGAACACTCTGATTCTATATTAAATCTTTACTAATCATCAGAATAAAATGCAGATTTACTTTTATTAAATGAAAAACAAGCTGAAATAAATATCAAAATTATTTAAAACTTTAGCAACTTTCAGCTAATACTTTTAACATGAAAACATAATCTTTATTATATTTATATTGAGTTTAATTTCATTACACTTTTGAATATTAAGTCTTCCTGATTTGGTGCTTATTATCTGTATTTTCCAAAATTATTATATGAATTTCTTATGATTCCTTTATTTTATACCTAATTTTGGCTCTACTCTTATATGCGCCCTAAGATCGCCAAATGTGGCGATATGTGTTCTGCGCGGGTTTTTGGCGCAATTGCGTGTTGTAAGGCAACTCTTTTGACGTAGAAAACTCTTTTGTTGGAGTGGTTTAATTGCTTGTTGGTTCGTGTCATGCGTGTTATGAAATGGCCTATATTCCAATAATAGACGTGGTTGCAAGAGGGTCTGGGAGATTATTTTTAGTGGCTGTGCATGATAGAAGTAAGGAAACGCTGATGCAGCGTATTAAAGAGTGGATTGAGCCTTGTAAAACTATTTTTTCCGATGGCTGGAAATCTTACAAGGATTTAGGAAAAGAAGTTGTTATGTCACATTTATCCAAACCTGGTGTTAAATCATGCTGCTTTAGGACAGTTTCATGGTTAACGGATAATGCATTGGTGCCAATATTTTTCTTAAATTATTTTGCTTAGCAATATTATTAACATTATATAAATTTTATAATATAAAAACTGATAATCCTTCCTTTAAGCATGATTGAAATATACATATACTCCATATGTGAGATATTAAACAAAAGTGAAAATATAATATTATGTTACTAATTATAGGTACTTTGATCTATAATTAAAATTGATAGTTATAATAAATAAATGAAATATAAAAATTATTTAATTAAAATTTTCAGCATGCAGATTATTTTACATATAAATAATTATAGCGTTTACTATACTTATAATGCTAAAATTTACTGACCTCTGTTAAAATCTAAGAAAACATTTTCTTCTTCACTATCCCTTCTTTCTAAAATAGACAAAGAAGTAAAGTTACTTATATTACAAACATTAAAATATTGTAATTCTTAAAAGCTAATATTAACGCTATAAAGATAACTACAGTCATTTTAAGGGTTTCTTATTTACTTTTAAATTTATTTATTTGTGGGCTCAGGTGGCTGAAGTTTTATGATTTTTCCTACCTTTACATGAACTTTTACAAAACTCTATTCACTTATGAAAAGGAACAAAAATGTGCTGTATACCCATTCAGTCTAGAGCCGACACTTTGACGCCATTACGGAAAATAATCAAAAATGTTTCAAAGGAACTCATAAAAAATGGTACTGAGTAAACAAGTACTTATGTATTTCTTCTTTCCAGTTTTTAGCAGCTAATTTTTTTTTTCTTGAAAGGAAATGACCTTGAAAATAATCCCTTGCTCTGTCAATGACAAGGATAGGGATATATCAAATGGAAAAAAACACTTTTTCAATATTCTCAAACATATAAAATAACGTGGCTGATAAATTGAGCACTTTTGGTGGGATTAGAGAAAAATAAATCTGAAGATTAAATATACGAGCAAGATGATAATTTTGTTCTGCAGGAACTGGAAATAGCTGACAATGATTCTGAAGTGATGTTTTATGACATAAATGAGCTTTTTTTTTTTTTTTTTTTTTTTTTTTTTTTTATGGTCTCAAATTGCTAAGCATGCAAAGAGTAAATAAAAATGAAAGAAAACTCAAAGGAGCCTGACATCACAGAATGTCATACAAATACGATGCAAAATAATGTAGTCTACCTTGACTTAAATATTATTGATTACAATTTTATAAAAATTTATGACAAGAGAAGAGAATTCAATTTTCTACACTAAAGTTAACCAACTGGAATTCAAATATTTCCAAAAGGATCACCCTAAACACAATTTATTCACAGCTACTTAGAATAAAAAGAAAATGCAATACAACAGAACACCTTCAAGAAGAAATACTTTACCTCGTGACTATTTTGAAAAATAACCTAATTCCTCATAAAATAATTAAAAATACCTTAAAAAAAGCTGGCATTAGCCTTACCAATTTTTAGATAATTTGAGTTAGATAATGAAATTTTATACTTAAAGCCCAATGGGACAGTATAAAGTGCATGGCCAATTCAGAAAATCTAATGTAAAAATGTACAGTTAATTCTTGTCACTATAATTTTTTTCCTCCAAAATATTTTGGCACAATACTTTAGTACTATTGTTTTAATAGTTTTAAATTACTTTGATGGCCAATTCTACTTTTATTAACAAATCGGGCCTTTTCGTTTTTCATTGTAGCTCGATCGCCCTCTAGCTTGATGAATTACGACTTTTATTAACAAATGACTTTTTCCATTTTACCCTTACTTTTGTGGCCATGTTGAATAATCTTTGCTGAATTAGCCATTTTCACATTTTTGAAACAGTTTTATTCTTCTACAACTTGACTGACGCCATTTTGGATTCTTTCCATGTTTTTTCGAGTCTCTCATCCCCTCTTTAACCCGCGGGGGGTACGAGTTCCCGCGAAAGGACAATCTAATTGCATTGGCTGATACGCAGTGACATAGTTTCACCCGCCTACATCACACGATGAGAGGGATGGCTTTAAAAGACACAGAGGGGATTACAACCCCTTTTCAAATTTGCTTCGAGATCAGGAGGACTGCATATCCACAGGTCTGTTTTTTCTGTTTCTTTGTGTTTTTTTTAATTTTTTCTTGGTGTTAGCAAAACCCACGGCGGTTATTTTCATTTCAATTTAATTTCAGAAATATAATATTCATAAGTGTTTTCTTTTGAATTTAATTTCAGAACTATATAATATTCATAAAAGTTTTATTCTTTAAGCTTGCAGGTCCAGCCCGTATGTTATTGTATAGTTTGACTAATAGCAGACCGCTATTTATTTTTTTATTTTATTTTTATTTTAATTTTGCTTTGCTTGGAGTTGCATTTACATTTTATTACACCTTAATGTGTCATTTTTTGCGGACGCGTCGGGAAATTGGAACAGAGAATTGAGGCTCCAAAAAGATTTTTTCGGGACAATTCATATTATTTTTAAAAAATTTTCGTCACACAAGAGCTTCAATTGTCTTTTTCGGCGAAACGCATAATGGTGTTAGCTTGGTTCGACTTTTAACTGAAATTTCCCTTGAAAAGCCAGGTTGGAAGTCTAATTAGGCTAATTTACCATTTTCCGCTTTGTAATTTTTATAATTTTTGTAATTTTATGTTTTTCATATGTTTTAATTTTGTTTTAACTTGTTCCGTCGTTCAGTTTTTTATATGTTTTAACTTTTCACTTATCACATCGATAGGTTTTACTGTATTTTTTTGTTTTTACACGTTTACAACAATTGATTTTAACAGTCTTATTTTCTGCATTTTATTTCGCGTAGGCTTTTTTTCACCCTTCAATGTTATTATTTTAAAAAATACTGCGTTGAACTATTTCTTGGAGACACAGCTCCTGGTAACTTTTTGGTGAGCTCACAACAATATTTCTTCTCATTATTTCATAATTTTTGCAGCATATTGCGCAAAAAAATTTTAAGACCAAATAGGTCTTACAACACAATACTTATTAGCTTTTCAATTTCAATTTTAGATATATATATGTCATAATAAAAGCACAACAAGGAAAAGCCGGAGCAGTGTAGATGCGTGATTAGATCCATATTGAAGAAGAATTTTGATTGCGGAGTATTTAAAGAACTTAAGATGTAAAATATTAAAAAAAAAAAAATACGATGGCTTTGCTCTTTGCGAACCAGCAACCTTTAATTACTTTTCTGCAATTCAGGATCGTCCCCTAACCCAGTACCTGCTAGAACATTCACGCCTATTACATAACCTCCTCATATAAATGCTACGTCATAAGTTCTCCTAAACAGATGCCTTCTCACCTTCGTCCTGCTAACGCTTCCCCTATGCTCCTCTTTCTTTGTTAGAACGTTATGACGTATTAAAGTTTAAAGTCAGTCGTATCTAATAGTTCAATTACTGAATAAGTTATTTGATTAACTTCATCTGGAAAATGTCATCTGCTATAAATTAAAATAAAGATATGCTTGCTGTTAAAAGTAAAAAGTCCTGAGTCATCATTTTTTTCCGTACTTCAATCATCCCAGCTTCGTCAACCATCTGCCAGAACGTGTAATGGAATAGCCTCACCATTCGCCCACGATGTGATGGAATAACTGAAAACATTACATATATATTACAGTTATTTATTGCAGACAGCCAATATTTCTGTTTCATATATCTGTACAGTATTAATTTTAGATTTGGCTGCAACGCAGACTTGAATTACATAGTATAAAGAAATTATGGGAAACACACTTCCCATGAGATCCTTTTAACTGAAACTTTCTAAATCTTTAATGAAAACATATGACAATCAATTATATTTCACACACTAGTCCATAAGTTTGTGAACAGAAATCAAAATTAAATTTTTCTGTGCAATGCCAAATTAAAAAATGTAATAAAAATACTAGAGCTAAATATAAATGCTACAATGCAAAAGATCAGTTTATCATAAAAGCATAATTTGCATCAAATGTAGTATATGAAAGTGAAAATATAATTTATCAGAAACTGACTAATGAATAATGAAAAGTTAACTGTCCCTAAGTAGAATTAATATTTCCTTTAGTGGCCAACATTGCATAATGTGCATATACTTTATTTTAAATTAATGTAAAGTTTGAGTCTCATTTGGTTACATTATTTACGAATAGTTTCATGAACATGTTTACATTTTCTACATTTTGGTTACATGTAACAGAGCTACCATTATTTTACTTTTACTTGACATGTCTTTTTGTAGTTCATTACATAGGGTCATAAAATATTATATCTCAGTGTATTCTGATTTAATGTTTCATGATAATAAAGTTCTAGATTTAAAATATTGAATCACCGTTTTAAAAAAATGCATTAAATATATTACATTTTTTATTTTAATAGAACTTAACTAAATAACAACTTAAGGGGAAAATTAATGAAAGGGACTTATTAAAGGGAAAAAATCCTGTCTTTCTAGTGTTATATTAAGAAGTGCAATTTTTAAAAGATTCTAATCTGTATATTATTAAATATACAAAAATATCACACTATTTATATAATATACATTTAAATTTTCCTGACATAAAAACACAAATGATTTTATCATAAAATATACAACAAAGAATCATTAATATCTTTTCAGATTTTGCTCATTTATTATTGCTGTAATAATAGTTTAATTATCACATGAGGCAAAGGACAAAAATTTTGAAAAATCCTTAATTAGGTATCATGAACATATCGTAATATCGTAGGTAAAATTTAAGTGAAAGTAAGACTTAGTTACAGAAATAATTACAAGATTTTTAACTACTACAGTCAAAAGTCTTTAATCCGGAATGATCTATAATCCGGACCTCAAAGCTACAAACTTTCTGCGCATGTGTCAACGCATGCGCATAATACGTTTACGCATGTGCATTTAATGTATAACGGACGGTATAAGCTAGGTTAAAGTTATCTAATTATGTATTTCAGTTAATGTTTCAGATTGCGTTGTTGCTTAATCTTCAAATTGGATCCAGCTTATTATTTTTTGCAGACTGTTAGAGCAATTTTATAAAAGTAAGCTTGAACTTTCGATTATGTCAAAAAGAGTTTCCGATTCTGGAGCTGCCAAAGGATCTACAAAGCGAAAGCATGTTTCGATGTCCATCAAACAAAAAGTGGAATTGCTGCAAAAAATGGATAAAAGCATATCCTTTGTTTCTCTAACCATTCCGAAATCTTTTTATTAGTTTCACGCTGCTCTGTGGGGGGGGGGGGGGCACGCAATGAACTGGAAGTTGATCTGTCAGCACTATCCTTATCTTCAGGGCAGATGTTTTTATTTTATTTGGTTTATAATTCCTTACTAAATGTAGTATTTTGTCTCGATGTACTCCGTCTTTGATACGACTTAAATCAAATTCCTCGTCATTATAAATATCACGAATACACATCAAATAGTTTTCTGGTTGGAATTTTCTAATTTCGACTATGCCTAATGTATGCTTTACGCATGGGCGTGTTGAAAATGTTTAATAAAGTAAACAAATAAATATTAAGCTTTTTTTTTTTTTTTTTTTTTTTTTTTTTTTTTGTAAATTTTGATACCCTTTAGTTCATAATTGCTCTTCATTTCATAAATTATGGTTTCATATTTTTAACTTTATAATTTCTACATGCCATCTTACGAGATTTAAATTAATTATCTATAATCCGGAAAAACTGATAATTCGGAATCGCCGAAGTCCCGACGAGTCCAGATTAAAGATTTTTGACTGCATTAACAGATTTAAGATTGTCAACTGGAAACTTAGGATAAAGTTGTGACTTTATTAATTTTAAAATTTTATTATGTGTTACTTTACAAATATGGTATGCACAAAATGCTGCAACTTAAAATTTCATTCATTTTCTTATGGTATAAAAATGGAATACAAGTAAAACAAATATAGTATAAAATGCTGCTATCAGCCTTTATACCATATGACTTATGATGTTTTGACATCGGTGAATCACAAAATTACATTATTTCAATATTTAATTTGAATAATACTTTGAAATTAAAATGTTTCCTTAAATTACAATGCTTTTTAAATTAAAATGTTAAATGAAATTAATGTTTTTAAATGTTCTTTAAAATGTTTAAAATTTTCCAGTTCTTTTCTGCTAAAACCCATCAGCATGTTTTCCCCAACACACACACGTTTCCTTGCCGCCAGGCACCACTAGTCTAGTTTGACTTCTTTCCTCTGAAATGGATTTTTACTATTTGAGATATGTCAAGAGATAAACAAGTGGCTATCTTAATCCTTCAAGAAAAAGTTATACTGTTTGAATAATAACCTCATGAAATTAAAATGCAACTGGAACAATAAAGGCAATATTTTCTCAATATCCTTTGACCGATGGATGTAAAGTTTTTTTAAAAATAAGTAAAAAAGAGACAATATCTTTTATTAAAACTTTAATTTTGATCTGACAACAGTAATAACAGGCTAACCAAAATAATTATCTAGATGAAATCAAAAAGTTAAAATATAGAGCAATTCACAATGGTACCTGAACTTAGATTAAGTGAGATCTAATTCTTTCCCCCTTCACTGCCATGGTAAAAAACTGAAGCCAGTATACACAGCATTATTCCACTCCGAGTTTCATTTACTGCATATAGGACTAGTAAAACAGAAAAATGCTGAATCTCCAGACACACACACTGCTCAAGGGCTTAAAATAAAAATGTGGTTCATCAGCCAGCAAGCAAAACAACAAACAGAATCATTTAATACTGTCACAGATAATGATGCTTTTCAGCAAAATACATATCTCAGCTAACTTAGCCAGAAATCAACTTAGGACATGCTTGTTTTTGAGCATATTCTCCATTACTGCAATGCCTGAGAAAAAGAAAATTTCTTAAAAAAAGGGAATTTTATAGTAGGTACAGATAATAGATTATTTCATTTATTACATATCCAGATTTTGGACTCTGTGCTGTGTTTGTTTCTTTATTGTATTTCTACATTGTTTTATGCTACTATGAAAAAGTGCATATCTCGAAAAAAAGACACAAACATGTCAGTGGTTTCCTAGTTGATTCAGTTAAGTATTTTCTCTCTCCTCTCCACATGCCTTCGTGGTGTAACTGGAAGCTTACCCAACACATATTTGAGAGGTCCAGAGTTCAAGTTCTGGTGAGGGCAGTGTACCTTCTTCACGTCTCGTTTCGTGCTTCAAAATAACTTAATCACTCTACGAGTGGTGCTTAAACTAAAAGCGTCGGACAACAATTCATCATCTGCAGGATTTGGCAATTGCATATCCTCATCTCCAATGACACTTTAAAAGGGGGAGTACATAAGTATTCTCTCTCTCCTTTCTGCATGTGTTGATGGTGTAACTGGAAGCATATTCAACACGTATTCGAGAGCTCCAGGTTCCGCGTCCTGACATGGCACTGCATATTTTTCATGTCTCCTGCTTCAAAATAACCTAATGACTCTACACTATAATACATTAAAGTAGTGAAATAAAGATGATAGTTCAAATGGATAATACAAACAAGATAATATGACTTACCAATCTAATAACTTAGGATATTGAAAATTAAGAATTATGTAATATTTTATTTGCTCTGTTTTTTATTTTCAATACAGATACTTTAGAACAAAGTAAAATTCAAAAGAAGAAAATCAAGAAGAAAAAGAAATGAACAAAATTATCCCTTAATGCTTTGGTAATAATTACAAATTTATATCATACAGAAAAATTTTGATTTCATTGAAACAAAAGTCATGACTAAGATGAAACTTTAGGTAACTGTTCTGTTATCAGTAACAGATCCAGAAATGTAAATATGTATGCATGTATGGATGGATGTATGTGTTTATGTATGCATGTATAATTAATTATATGTAAGCACAAATGTATGTGCATATAGGGTCCCGATAACAGAACATACCAAATTTAGTATATGGGCTCATTTTTAAGCACTTAAAATCACTTAACACTCAGAATACAAATGGAAAGAATACTTCTAAGGAAGTTCTGAACTCTCTATATTTTGTAAGATACTGCATAAATACTTGCACAAAGATACATTATAATTACGAGTACATAAAAGCAACACTATACCAACTCGTTATTTCCAATATTTGAAAACAGCAGATCTTTTCGCCACTAAATTATAAATAGAATCCACCATAAAGAGATATACCAGCTCATAATGATTATCGAGATAACAAAGAAATAATTGAAAGAAAAACAAAGTGATTTCTGTTTTCATGTAACTTCTACAGCTCTTAAACATAAATCTTGAAGATTTTCGAAATCCAATATACAAAGAATAATTGTAAATATATTGATAATAGTGAAGAAACTTTGCACTTCAAACGCAAATACAAAGTACAGATGCATAGAGAATTGTAATTAAATTTACTTGAGCAAACATAATCATATTTTTATAAATCTAATACATGTTATATGAGAGAAAAATGAAATGTCGTGTTTCTAGATAATTCCGTATCGGCAATTTGATAAGCTATATAAAATAATCAGATAGATTTATCTGAAAATAATGAACAAACAATCATAGGTCTGACAGTGACAGAAAAACACTCAAGTGTCAATAAATGCAATATACAGAAATGTATAAGAATAATTATAATCTATTCCGGAAAAAAATAAAACTTGGGCAATATTATACCTTATTATCACGTAATGTTCATTCTTTAATACTATTTAAATAAAAAATTAAAATTTAAATTTGGGTTCAGAGATATTAAAATTTAAATTATATTCAAAAATCTCGGATTCCATTTAAAATCAACTCATAGTAACTGGAACTTACTACGAAGCAGACGTCCACCAGCTCGATTTTGCTGCCGTATACCATGGGAAACAGCCATATTTTTAAATTATAAGTATCCCACATCCCACAACACATTTGATTTCTCAAAATATTTACTATCGCATGGTTTAAGTTGAGATAAGTTGTAGATATCCTGCTACGTATATAAATGTTTCTTAAAAGCCTATTATGAAGACGATCTGCGAGTGGTGCAAACACTTGAGTACCTAGTCTGCCCGACATCACCGAGAGTTAAGACATTTGAAATTTCATGTAAGCCCATAATATGAAACATTGCAGAAAACTATATGCATAATTTATGTACTGATTATCGAGTGATAAAAGTACGTTAGTAAATTAAATCGGTTATTTCAGTAACGTTTCTTAATCTATTTTCTACGGTCACCTAAGGCTCCTATATAGCCCAAGGCTAATAGAGAAGCTTTAAGGCTCACTAGAGGCAAAACACTAAAGTAACTGAACACTGGTAGTCTTCTCGGATTCGAATCACAGCGCATAGGTTCGCTTCATGGGCGTTTTCATGGTTTTTTGTCGTATGTAAGACTCGAGTGTAAAACAGGCCCTGAACGATAAAAGCAGTTTTGTCTACTTTGTAAACAAGCTTTAGAAATATTAAATTTAGTAATCTTGAACAGAACGCAAGATCGCTGAAATTTTAAACATAACATTAAAATATATGCATCTGCAACGAATGTTATTAGACAGGTGGAAAAAAATTTGGTTTATTATAACAAAGAATGCTTATTGCTTATTCGATTTTGACAGAGCAAGGTAGGATTAGTTTCCTCAAAATAGGTATCTGTTCGTGGAGAATCCACCAGGTGAAAGAACGGTAAAATCACTCAACACTGGTAGTTCGACCCTGGTTAAAATCCAGACATGAACACCAAGAGTGGAGCATCCATTTCCTGGCTGCTACTGTGAGCTTAACATGTTAATAGCTCTCCACAACTCGGAGACTGTACGGAGGGGCGCCACACCCCCCGATCAGCCCACGGAGACTTCTCATGTTCATAGCCACAATCCGTCGCCGATGGCTGAGCGGGGAGCCCAACTCCCCCCGCACAGCCCTTAATATCTACATGAGAGCGTCCCCACATTCAAGGCAACGGACACGACAGTACCAGTACAGTCCCTGCCAAGCCCGCGCCTACCACCGTATAAAAAATGGTTCTAGTCCATGTGAAGACTGATTATATACCCAAGGAACCGAAGCTGTCAGGACACAAGTCCAGCCAGTGATCTGGAAGAACCCCGGGTCTCCTCCAATCAGTTGTTTTATCATATGGTACTATGAAGGTTTAGTTTCGAAAGCTCAAAAACAAGGACTATAACATTCAAGAAGCAGAGCACTCTGTTGATGATGAGAACCGCCTGTGATAAGCTGTGGAAGAAGATCACTATGAAAGCATTCGATAGCTTTGCTAAAGGAGTTAGACGTTAGTACCATGTCCATTAGTCGCGCTATGCATCGCATAAACTTGGCGTACAAGTTCAATCGCAGCATGAGCTGACCCGAGCAGATAAGGGCAGACATGTCCGGGCCTACACTAATCTGCTCCAATATCAACATAAAGACAAAATTCTGGACCGAATCGTCAGTTGTCATGAAACGTGAATTTTCTTCAACAAAACACGCCGAAAAGGGGGTTGGTCTGTGTGCCCGGTAAACCCGTTGGCAACGTCCTAAAGCGCAATTTGACTAACAAAAAGATCATGCTTTGTATGTTGTGGGATTGCCGTGGTATTATCTACAAAGAGTATCTATGAAAAAGGTAAAATCCTCGTCAGTAAGGAGTATAGCGAGATGCTAGTCCGTTTGACGCTGCTTTCAAGGGAAAATGTCGGACTGACGTCAGGCGCAGAAAGGTAATGTTCCATCAATATAATGCAAGACAACATTTGTTTGAATTCACTGGCTGGACTCCGTACGGACTCGAATGGGATCTTTTGCCACAACCACCACATAGCCCTGACATCGCTCCATGGGACTTCAATCTTTTTTCACACCTACAGCTATATCGGACTGGTACTATCTTCCGTTCTGCACAGGACGTCCGAAATGATGTTGATCTGTTTTTGTACTCAAGGCTCTGGGCCGAAGGCTTTAAAAAACTACCAAAATGTTAGCAGAAAACCATAGATTTGGGTGGTGATTACTACCCGCACTTAAGGTGCTGCTTTCATAATTTTTTTTATTTTATTTTATTTAGAACTTTTTTTTTCGCTTTTTTTTTACTTTCGTTACAACCAGATACAGGCTATATGTTTGTTATGTATTTGAGAAAGCTGGTTTATGACTTTTATTTCTTTAAACGTTGATTTTAGGCATGTACTTTGAATTGCAAAATTTCTTATAATAAGACTGAGAAGTTTATGGAAAGATTCTTAATTGTACTGGTAGAAGGTTGCCCTTAAAAAATCCACCGTTTTACATAATCTTCAAAAAAATTATAAATATTAGAATATTCACTGAGGTGTAAAGAGAGACAGCATTATATATCTCAAATAAGTACTTGCATGCATGTTGAAACTTAAAATAATATTATCAGACAGAATTTTCCAGAAGGCCTTATATGTATACTCTGCAAAGAAAAGGAGGGCAGTTCCATATCTCCCATTCTACTGGGCTGATTAACAAAATTTGTATGTTTCATGTCTTGAAAGTGCGACGTAGGATATGTATTTGATTTAAATATATTATTAACGTAATTATTGCGACACAAAACCGGAATTTTTCTGAAATGACATACTGATTTTTTTCCATGTTTCGGTTCTATGACGCAAATTATGCCAAAAGTACCAAGTTTTGTAAAAATCACATGAATAGTTTTTGAAAAATCAGCGCTCAAAGTTTTAGCTCCTCAATTGAATTTGGTATGTATTTAGTAGTATCTCTTCGTTTAATTGAACTCACTTCATTCTTTCTTTCATACTTCGAAACTTAGGTTCAATCCAAATACAATGCGCAGATATTTTATGATTTATTAAAAGAATTCATATTTTTTAGTAAATTTTATCAATTTTTCGAAAACATTTTTGGATTACAACCTGTAAATTTTTTTTCCGCTTTATGAGTTTGTTATGTTGTGTAAGTTAGTTATGTAGTTTTATTTCTAGGCATACCTGCAAAAAATTAGAATTTTTATTCAGAATTTCGCAACATATAAGGGAATTTATATATTGGCGCATTTTGAAATTTTGTAAACATATTTCTTATAATCAGCAATGATGCTAAATGTGTTTTACATACTTTGCTATTAAAACTAAACGAATTGCAAGAGTTATTCTGAGCACGTCAAAAATATAATAAAAAATGCTGTAAAACAATAAATAAAGCGTTCTATCTTCTGCTACAGAAATGTTTAACAGCGCAAAATTTACGAGAATATAAGATTTTTATCTTCTTTTCTGTGTGTAGCAAAAGCAACCAATAAAAATGATTTTAAGATGTTTTTATGTTCAGAGATATTTCAGTACTTTTCTATTATAGGGGTCGGATCAGAAATGTACGTATCTATGCATGTGCGTATATGTGTGTATGTAAAAACACACATACGAACATACGTCCTTGTATACATATATCCGTTAAAATATACATTTCTATACACATGCATTATTTACACACGTTTTCGAATCCAGTCCCGATAACAGAACTGTATCGATATTTCATGACATTAAATGCACGGTAAATTTAGAGGATATCCTTCAAACTCTTCCCCCAAATCAGAGGCTAGACTTTGAAGCTGTGCCGGTTGCATTGGAGTAGCTCTTTCGCTAGAAGTGTCTGAAAGACTACAGTAAGATCAGTTAAAATCTTACCTGCCCAACTTTTTTTTCCATATATCTCTAATTCAATAAGATATAACACTGGTGACCAGCTTTTGTACTTTTGAGGGTGAATCTAATTTTGTATTTTTGAGGGCTGCCCATTACGCTATGTTTCGCAAATGTTTAGGAATATGTCCTGGATATAGGTCATCGGTTATTTCAAGGTTCTTAGGATATTTATTTTAAATAAACTACGTATAACGATAAGTCTTAGAAGATTAAATATATACATAAATTGGGAAATTCTGTCAATAGCATACAAACTTTGTTTACCTTAACCTACAGGCTAGTCATAACTGAGATATATTATGAACAATTATTTAAAATGTTGTTAATAACTCCTTTCTTAACGACTGTATTCGGCCTTCGTATTGCCCGGTACTGAATTCTACTATTATTTACCAATGCTCGGCAACATTAATGATCTGCGCTATATGATGACACTGTGATACGAAAGGGGATTTTTTTTTTTTCAGGGAAGACATGAAGCTGCAATTTGGCGAAAAGTGTTTGAAAGACTCTAGCAGGCTTCAGTTAAAATTTCACCAACAGAAGCCTATAGAAACCCTCCAGTAACTCGCACAGGTGTTGAAAGGCTGTTTCATCTGGCCTTTTTGGACTGCCCTAACAAAAGAAATCCTGCCACTGCAGTACTTCATCAATGGCATCCGTGATCCTGAAATACAAAACGCTCTGTGAATGGTGGATGTCAAGGATTTCAAAAGCGATCTAGGTATGCCATTAAATTCGAGGCAGCCCAGCAACTCGTACAGACCGACACTCAATTAGAACTGCTCAAGTTCAAGAGCCAGTGGATTAAGTGACTGGCTTGTCTAAACGATTTAACAAGACAAGTCAGTGCCTTGATACACAAGAGGAGTGACAGAAACGGGTTTTAAAGTGCTCAAACTGCGGTGCTGAAAGCCACGTAGGAAAGAGCACGAAAGTTAAGACCACTCTCAGCAAGAAGGAGGAAAACTAATTAGTGGCCGTCTGACGGGCTGGAGATTGCCAGATAATGTAAAGCCATATTTTAAAGTGCTTCAGATTTCGTAACGACTGGAGGCAATAATGGACTCTATGTCATGGGACATATAATGGAGTTCCTTGCAATGTGACCATCGATAAAAGATCCAATGTTATCATCCGAAAAGATTTCACTCAACAATTGGAAAGTGAACTCACCTGGAAGTCATTCTGCTTTGACTTCCAGACTGTGTCTGGGATAAAATCGACATCGATGGAATATTAAAAGTAAATATCCCGTTTGGAAGTGCGGCCTGCCAGCACACG